AGAAAAGATTGTCGTTGTTAAGGATTTTGTTTTATGTGTGTCCACAATCAACTCAAGGAAGCAACACCCAAATGATGTACTGCATTAGGAAAATGGGTTATAAAAGACCTCTTTAAAGTGTTAAAGACCAAAGATGTCATTTTGAGGGCTCATGTTATTGTTATCAGGTGCCATCGATTTGGAACCGACTCATAGCGACCCCATGCACAGCAGAACGAAACAATGTCCGATCCTGGGCCAACCTCACTACCGCTGCCACACATGAAGTCTATCAATGCTGCCACCTGGCCAATCCATCTTGCTGGGGGTCTTCCTCTTTTTCTCCGACCCTCCATCTTACCAAGCATGATATCCTTCTCCAGTGATTGTTCCCTCCTGACAATATGTCCAAAGTATGAGAGACGAAGTTTAGCCATCTTGTCCTCTAAGGAGCACTCTGACTGCACTTCTTCCAAAACAGATCTACTAGTTCTTTTGGCAGCCCATAGCACTTTTAGTATTGTCCTCCAACACCACAATTCAAAGACATCAGTTCTTCTACGATCTTCCTTATTCACTGTCCAGCTTTCACATCCATATGAGGTTATTGAAAATACCATGCTTGGGTCAGGCGCACCTTAGTCCTCAAGCTGACATCTCTGCTCTTCAATACTTTAAAAAGTTCCTGTGCAGCAGATTTGCCTAATGCAATACGTCGTCTGATCTCTTGACTGCTGCCTCCGCAAGTGTTGATAGTTGATCCAAGAAGAATGAAGTCCTTGACAACTTCAATCTTTTCTCTGTTGAGAAGAATGTTGTTTATTGGTCCAGTAGTGAGGATTTTTGTTTTCATGACATTGAGATGTAATCCATACCGAAGGCTGTGCTCTTTGATCTTCATCAGTATATGTTTTAAGTCCTCTTCACTTTCAGAAGCAAGGTTGTATCATCAGCATATCGCAGACATCTCCAATCCTGATGCCACGTTTTTCTTCAGAGAACCCAGCTTCTCATATTATTTGCTCAGCATACAGGTTGAATAAGTATGGTGAAAGAACACAACCTTGTCGCACACCTTTCCCAATTTTAAAACATTCAGTGTTCCCATGCTCTGTTTGAACAACTGCTTCTTGGTCCAGGTACAGATTCCTCAGAAGTACAATTAAGTGTTCTGGAATACTCATACTTCTCAATGTTGTCCATAGCTTGTCATGATCCACACAACCGAAAGCCTTTGCATAGTCAATAAAGCATAGGTAAACATCTTTCTGATATTCTCTGCTTTCAGCCAAGATCCATTGGACATCAGCAATGATATCTTTTGTTCCATGGCCTCTTCTGAACCCAGCTTGAACCTCTGGAAGTTCTCTATCAATGTATGATTTTAGCCGTTTCTGTATTACCTTTAGCAAAACTCTACTCGCTTAAAATATCAAAGAGATTGTCCAATGATTTCCTCATTCCGTTGGGTCACCTATCTTTGGAATAGGCACAAATATGGATCTCTTCCAATCAGTCGGCCAGATAGTTGTCTTCCAAATTTCTTGGCAGAGATGAGTGAGTGCCTCCTGGGCCACTTCACTTCCTTGAAAGATTTCAATTTTTATTCCATCAATTCCTGGTGCCTTGTTCTTTGCCAATTCTTTCAATGCACTTTGGACTTCTTCCCTGAGTATCAGTGGTTCTTGATCATATGGTACCTCTTGAAATGGTTGAACATTAACCATTTGCTTTTGGTACAATGACTCTGTGTATTCCTTCCATCTTCTCTTGATGCATTCTGCATCATTCAATAATTTGTCCAGAGAATCTTTCAATAACAAAAGTCGAGGCTTGAATTTTTTCTTCAGTTTCCCCAGCTTGAGAAATGCTGACCGTGTTCTTCCTCCTGAGGCCTGATACTTAAGGTTTTTTGTCAACTTTACTGGGCCAGGATTCTAAGTAATTTGACAGTTCAGATGTAGTCAGCTTCCATGAGATCTAATGTAATTTACTCACCTCTGTGATGAGATCTAGGAGATCTGGTAGCATACCAGTTAAGAGTCAGACCTCAAGGTTAGAAATTTGAACCTACCAACTGTTCCACAGGAGAAAGATGAGGCTTTCTGCTTCCGTAAAGATTTACAGCCTCAGAAACCATATGCATGGTCGCTGAAAGTTGGAAATGATTCCATGGCACATTACCACCATCATGATGAAACCTGGAGTCCAGGTATTGTGCTGCAGGATAAGCAAAGGACTACTAAGCACAAGGTTGGTGGTTCAAACCCATCAGTTGCTCCTTGGAAACCCTACAAAGCTTGTTATGAGTTGGAACCAACTAGATGGCACTTAACAACAAGAAGATGAGATCAGCTATGGGCAATCAAATTAATTGAAAGGAAGTTTTCTCAGATGTGTGGTCTACTTCCAATGTATTGGACAAGGAGGCAAAGCTTGCTGCTTTCTACTGGATCTAGATCCTGCATCTGACTCGTCATCCAGCCTCTAGTTTTCTGAACTTGAGTCAGTAGTAATCTGCTCTATTGCCTGCTAATCCTGTGAGTTGTCAGCAACCTGCCATCTTACCTGCCCCATCTGTCTGTATGCTGTCTAGCCTGGTTCATCAGCCCTGCAGTTAGCTCCATGAGTTAGAAAACTTTGGTCTGAGATTTGACCCTTGTACTTGGAACCTGACCACCTCTACAACTGTGTGATCCATTTTCTTGATATAAACTTCTCTTCATATATAAGTTTTACTTGTTTTGCTTCTCTAGAGAATCCAGCCTAACACAAGGACTATAATGTGCTTGACCCAATCCATGATATTTTCAATTCCTTCATACGCATGTGAAAGCTGAAAAATGAATAGGATGATGGACGAAAAATTGATATATTTGACATATGGTTTTGATATATTTGAATCATAGAATGCCAGAAGAACAAACAAACCTGTCTTGGAGTAAGTATAGCCATAAGGCTCCTTAGATGACAGGATGGAAAGACTTTGTCTCATGTACTTTGGACATGTTATAAAGGGGAATCAGTCCCTGGAGGACATCATGCTTGGTAAAGTACAGGGTCAGTGGAAAAGAGGAAGATCCTCAACAATACAGCGGCTGCAACATTTGGCTCAAGTATAACAGTAATTGTGCGGATATCACAGGACCAGGCAGTATTTTTTTTCCTGTTGTACATAGGGTTGCTATGAATTGGAACAAACTTAATGGCACCTAACAACAATGAAATATTTTGCAAATAACAAAACAAACAGATGGACTTCTTAGATTATATGGAGAATACTCTAGCACTGGACTGTAAATAAATTTCACAAGGGAGGAGACCCAGCCTGCATCTGTTTTACATACTACCATATCCCCAGGTCCCACACATTTACATAGTAAAACAAATAAAACTGGACTAGTGAATATCCTGGTACCACAAAGAGCAGAATATACTGACTCAAAAAGTCTTTCGTCCTTATTAATACGGGTCAGTTTTATAGAGTCTTTATGCAAAACAGAGCTGGTGAAAACACGGAACACTGGCCCTGTGGCACGCTCACAATTATTATTACACTTGAGCCCATTTGTTGCCACTTTACCAATCATGTTCTTCTTCAGGGACTAGTCCCTCCTGACAATAAGTCCAAAATATGAGAGAGTTATTATCTCAACATCCTAGATTCTAAGGAGCAATCTGGCTGTACTTCTTTCAACACAGATTTGTTTGTTCTTCAGGCAGTTCATGGTGCTTATAATATTATTCTCTAACACTATAACTTAAATGTATCAATTTCTAGGATCTTCCTTATTCACTGTCAACTTTCACTACTGAAAATAATATAGTTTGGGTCAGGCACACCTTAGTCCTCAAACTGACATCTTTGCAATTCAACACTTTAAAAAGCTCTTGGGCTGCAGATATGCACAAAGAAATACATCAGTTGATCTCTTGACAGCTGCTTCCCTAAGTGTAGATAGTGGATGCAAGTAAAATTAAGTCTTTGACAACTTCAATCTTTTCTGTTTATCATGTTGTTATTTATTGGTTCAGTGGTAAGGATTTTTGTCTTCTTTACATAGAGATGCAATTCACATGGAAAACTGTGGTCTTTGATCTTCTTTAGCAAGTATCTTAAGCCCTCTTTGCTTTCAGCAAGCATCATTGTATCATCTGTATATTGCAGGTTGTTAGTGAATCTCCCTGCAGTCCTGATGTCATGTTCTTCATATAATCCAGATTCTCAGGTTTTGAGCTCAGCATGCAGATTGCATAAGTATGGTGAAAGAATATAACCCTGGCGTACGTACACTTTTCCTAATTTTAAATCATTTAGTGTCCCCTTGTTCTGTTTGAACCACTGCCTTTTTGTCTATGTACAGTTCCTCATGAGCACAATTAAATGTTTTGGAATACTTTTTTCTCATAGCTTGTCCATAGCTTGTCATGATCCACACAGTTGAAAGCCTTTGCATAGTTAATAAAGCACAAGCAAACATCTTTCTGGTATTCTCTGCTTTCAACTGTGTGATGTCAGCAATGATATTCCTTGTTCCAAATTCTCTTCTGAATTCTGCTTGAACCTCTGATAGGGCCCTGACAATGTACTATCACAAGGCTTTTTAATTATCTTTAGTTGTATTTGCTTTCAAAGTAAATGATTTCTTTTTCAAGAAGAGCTTTTGCTTTGTTTTCGTTTTTTTTTCTAAGAGTAGCTTATCTGACAAACTTAAGTTTAAAACTATAAGGACGAAAATACCAAAAAAATAAAAATAGGATGCTTCCTCATAAGCAAGTTAATTACTTCACATATCTTTTGCTTTCTCTAAATAATAAATCAACTCTAATGAGAACTACATTAGAGTTGACATTTCATAAAAATTATCATCCAGATTCCTAGTAAATATGAAAGAATGCAAATTGAAGCAAAGATACTGATGATATATAAGATTTATAAGTACTTTTATAAAAAATAACTGTTATTTTACTCACCAAAAATAATGAAAAAATACACATGGAAATAGAAAGAGATCTTTTACCTCTTATTTGAAAGACCCTTTGACATCTTGTTGAAAAACTCTGTTTCTGCATGTTGACTTGCAGCACTCATTTCAAAACAGATTAGATTTTTGTCTGAAGATTCAACATTCTGAAATGAAGTAGTTCATACTGACTTAAATAAAAACACTAAAGAAAACTATTGAGATGGAAAGTAGCTCTGAAACACGGGGGAAGAGATGAGGATAGAGGGTTTCTGATTTCTTTATTTGTAACCTTTTATTTCCACTAATCTGATAAAATGAACTCAAAGGAGGCACAAATCTGTTGAAATCACAGGATTTAGAGGTATTCGTTAAGTTTGTTATAAAACAGAATTTTTATTACTGGTCTGTAACCTAGGGCAATCAATAATTTCATTGAAAAGTGGTCTCTAAATATTTTTATACAACGGCAATTAGGGTTTCAAAGATCCACTTTTTCTATATCATTTAGATGCATTTCTATGTATTTGACTAGCAACATTCTATTCTGATTCCCAAGATCATTTTATATAAACACTGACTGTTAAGTGAGAAAAACCATTTACTACCTATATTCCTCTATTATTTTAAAACTAATAGGATTAAGAAAAGTCTAACAAGAAAAATTAACTGTCAACATCATGTTATTAGCACATAGATTATTATTATATTCTTCAAAGTTTTTATAAAAACATAGGCAAGTTATGCTTGGAATTACCTTTGATCCTCTACTGTTATATGGTTCTGGAGATAATCTAAGATCTACTAAACAAAATTAAGTATAAATAAAGCTAATATTCATTAAGATAGCTATGAATAAACAAAGTCTGTCTGAATTAGTACGCTAAAGGATAAAGTCCATTTAATCTTTCAAACCACAACCCAGAATGTTCATTAATGTACTAAGTAATCAAATCACTTACTTTGAAAAGGTGTAATGTCTCCTTGTTGGTTAGCAACTGAAATTGAAGGTCAGTATTCCCACCACCACAAGGGAGGCATTCATAAAACTCAGGCTCCTTATGTGTCAGAGAATAGAGAACTATGATGAAACTTCCAGATTCTGAAAATACCCTAAACAAAAATGTCCATTTAATTGAAATTTACTAAAGATAACAAGAGTACACTGAAAGCATTTCATGTGAATCTTCCAATCTAGTCAATGGGTTGAGTACGCAGTCTAATTTCTTAAAGGAAACTGGGAATCAAGCTTATGCTTACTTTTAAAAACGTCATTCATTTTAATCTTCAAAATATATTTTTATTACAGAATGCATATACCTCATAAAAGCTTCAAGTAAAACATAAATACATAAAATAGAAGATAAATACTATCCCAGTCCATTCTCCAGCTTAATGAACATACTTCCAGGATTTTCCATACTCACAATAACATTTTATATCATTTAGCAAAATGGGGTCAGTACTATACACACTGTTTACACTTGCTAATTTTTATTTGGGGCCCTGGTGTGCCACTGTAGGATAAGCACTCAACTACTAACCACAAGACCACGGGTTCAAATCCATGAGCGGCTTCTCTGAATCCCTATAAAGAGTTGTGTGTCAGAACTGATTCAACAGCACTTAACATTTATTTGACAATGTATGTCGAGTCTCTTTCCATGTCATTAGTCTATACTAAGTCTTCTTATTCTTTTAAGCAACTGCCCAATATTATATCTTAAGCATCATAAGTGATTTACCAAAATATCTAAAACTGAGTAATTACATATACTATTTTAATATTATAAACTGATAAAATGAACATTCCTTTTATTCATTAATTGACTCGATATAGTTATAGTCATCAAAATACTTAAAATATAGCTGAAAAGAATTATTTAAAAATATTTTCAGTATTGCCTCTATTTTGTAAAGGTTGAATAAAAAATGACCTGGGGATATTTATAACATCAATTAGAAGTAACAGTGGAGATTGGGAGGTAGAATGCCTGTATTCTAAGGAACTATAAAGGAGTCAGCAGTACCTACTCTCAGTTCCTTTCTCTGGAGTCAGACAAGACCACTGCTCAGAGTACTGTAAACTACCAACCTAAGAAGTCCTGGTGTGGTGCTACAGAATAAGCACTAGACTGCAAGGTTGGTTTCAACTTCAAGGTTGGAGGTTCAAACTCACCAGTTGCTCCTCAGAAACCCTGTACAGGGTCACTATGAGTTGGCACTAAACAAAAATAACAAAGCTATGCTAAAGTAGTGCTAATTCTTTCTTGTTCAGACCTCCCTTTAAAGGGCTGGCAGTAATTAATAAGAGTTCGGACATTAAAGAAATTGCCTAATTCTTCGGACTGAAATGAGAGTAACACAGGGAGCTTCAAAATTAATCGTACCTAACCTTTACTGTCCATAAGAAGTTAAATCAAGATTAGTAAATGAACTAAAACAATTCAGAATTATACCAATCTCTGTTTCACTTCAAGTAAACCTAGTTGAAATAAAATGTAAAAAGAACTATAAAATTATCTGAAGAAAAAACATTTTTAATTTCAATAAATGTTCCTGGAATAAAAAGTCTTTCTGTGGCACTGTGGGCTAATGCATCAGACTGCAGAGTTGTTTGAACTGCAAGGTTGGTGGTTCAAGCTCACCAGCTGCTCCTTGGAAACCCTATACAGGGTAGCTATGAGTCGGAAGCGACTTGACGGCACTTAACAAGTAAGATATAAAATACAGGAACCACAAAGAAAAAAAGATTGATAAATTAGACTTAAAGATTTGGGGAAAATACCATTATCTATTTGGGGAAAATACCATTATCCAAAGCTAACTGAAATTACTAGGGAAAAAAAATCTTTGCAACATATATGAAAACAAAAGTTTATCATATTAAAATATATATGTATGTATACATATGTGTGTATTGTTGTTAAGTTCTGTCGAATTGGTTCCGACTCACCAGCAATCCTGTATGGGGTTTCTGAGGAGCGACGAATAAGGTTGAACCACCGACCCTGCAGTTCAAACCAACCTTGCAGTCCAGAACATTAACCCACAGCGCCACACCAGGACACATATATATCATACATATGCATATACACATAAAATAAAGAGAGAAGTAAAGAGTGCTCTAAGAAAGCAGTATAAAGGAAAAAGACAATCCAAGAGAAAAATGGGAAAAGAAACAAACAAGCAATTCTGTAAAAGATGAGCAATATAACATGAGGAAAAGGCCATTTTAATCTTTTCAGGTTTACAAAGATCAGAAGTTTAATAACGTAACCTATATTAAACAGGTTATTACTTCTCTGAGCTCATTTCCTACTACTTCTCTTCTTCCCACACTCCTCTCTAGCACGATGCTGGTTTTGTTCTTCGAAGACGCCAGGTTAGCATCCACCTATGGTCTTTGTACTTAATTGTCCTTTGACTGCAACACAGCTCCAAGCAGCCACATGGCTTACTCCCTCAACCTCAGTGTTTGCCTCCCTGACCACCCCTTTACCTGTCATCACACCTAGACACAAATATCAACACCCTCTGCTTGATTTTTCCCCATAGAATTCATCATTCTCAAAAATACTATTTATTTTACTTATTCTGTTTACTGTCTGTCTCTACAGTGTCTTTATTTTGTTTACTGCTTACCCCATTATGGGGGGGATTTCAAAAACTTTGTAGAAAAATGGAATTAAAAGATAACAAAACTTTCCACAAACTTTTTGAAGGCATCTCATATTGTATACCTGTTGTTGTTAAGTGCTATTGAGACGGTTCCAACCCATAGCACCGTGTATAGGGTTTCCTAGGAGTGGGTGGTGAGCTCGAACCAACTTTTCAGTCCAGTGCCTTAACCTACAGCACCATACTAGGACTCCGATTATGGTGCTAAATTAATATTTATTGTGTGAATGAATACATTTTTAGTGAGGGAGTAGAAAAGCAGGTACTGTCATACACTGTGGACGCATTATAAATCTGTATAGTCTTTTTGCTAGGAATCCTGGTGACATCATGGTTAGGTGCACTGCTAAGAGTCACTTGAGTCCACCAGCCACTCTGAGGAAGAAAGATGTGGCAGTAGGTTTCCATAATGATTGCAGCCTGGAAAACTCTATGGGGTCGTTTTATCCTGCCCTACACGATCACTATGATGCTGTAGAATAAGCACTGGACTTCTAACTACAAGGTCAGTGGTTCAAATCCACCAGTTGCGTTTAGGAAACTATCAGTCAGAACCAACTCAACAGCACTTACAACAATAAGGTTGCTATGAGTCTCAATAGAGTCTACAGTGACAAGAGCATTTTTGAAGGCAACTTGATAATATCTACCATAAATTTAAATTAAATACCATTTGACCCAGAAATAAAACATTTTAGAAATTTGTTCTAGAAATATACTAGTAGAAGTACACAAAGCTATAGGTACACAATGTTTAGTTCAGCACTGCCTGTAAGAGCAAAAGCACCTGCTAGAAAAACATAGCATAGATTATATATGATACTGTTGTAAAACCTGTACAATAAATCTGTACAATGAACTCCAAGAGATATTCTTATAGAGAAAAAAGCAACATACAGAAAGCGAAGAATGGTATGCACCCATCTGTGATTTTATTTTCTTAAAGGCTACGGAAGTGCACTACTTGCCTATGGACTGACTACTCCAGGAAGGAAACACAGATACTATTTAAAAGTGATTGTCTCTGAGAATAGGGTTTGAGAAGAAGAGTAAAGAAGAAATTTATTTTTTATTGTGTCTATCTTTATGTATGTCTAATTTATATTACCACACAACTGTACTGTCTTTTCAATAACAAGTTTTCGTTTTGGCTTTAAGTCTATCATAGTTACCTTACATAGACAGAAAGACATCTTGAAATTCTAAACTAGTAGTTAAAGATAATAAGAGGAGTTGTGAGAAATAAATCTGTCCTTTAAAGACACTCATGTGTGGTATTTGTATTACAGCATTACTAGACACTATAGTAGATGGGATCAGGATTGTTTCCACTCTGTAAAGAATATCTTCTGTATTACAATTCTACGGTTAGACAGTGGATTTCTTTTTATTTCAAGGTATAGTGTAACCTCATCTTTATTGTCTAGTTGACTGAATTAAAAATTTGTTTTTTCATAATGAACTTATTTTTCTAACGTATATTACACAAGATTAAGGCACAGCATGATAAGGCCAATAAAGTAAGAAAGAGTAAAAATATGAAAAATAATATACTACAGAATAAAACATTACTTGCCTTTCTTGAACAGAAGAACTGAAAACATATCGCAAGCAACAAGCCCACACCTGAGGACTATAGATATGAATAATTCCAGACAGCCAACTAAAAGAAAAAATTAAAAACCATAACATCACAATTTAATATTTAATAGATTACAGTTTATACTCTCCTCAAAGTAAATAACAGATCCTTGACATTCACCAGCAATACATTTAGACTTCATAAATAAGCAATCTATAAATACTATATATATATCATGATGATAATTAAAAAGGACAAAATACATCTTCTTTCTCTCTGTTTTCCACTTAAACTTTGAAAGAGAAAATGGAAAACAGATATAAAAGCAGGAGACTAGAATAAATTAGCATAAACAGAATGGGCTAAATTAGGAGAAATGGAATTTTCTGCATAAAACTATTCTATATAATTACGAAAAGGTAAATGCTGCAACTTATATTGTTGTTGCCAGCAAGTCATTCTTATAACAACCTCATGTAACAGACTAGATTCCACTTTGGGCTTTCTTGGCTGGAATATTTAAGGAAATAGCCAGGTGCCAGGTCGTCCTCCCATAGAGCCACTGTGTGGGTTCGAACAATAAATAGCCAATAGTTAAATGAGTTGCACCTCCAGGGCTCCTTATAAATTAAATAGGTATCCTGAAACATAGCAAACTCTTATGACTATTCACCTAGGCATCAATAACCCATAACCATTATGAGAGCCATAGTATGAAAGCTTCATGTCCTACAGAACATTTGTGAATCCTTGAGGAATTTTAACTTTGTACATACCATTTGTTCATACAGGTACCCTCCCCCATCAACCCTCTTTTCTACCATCTAAACTTCAAAGGGATTTGTGGTGTGGTCCTGTAAGATCAGCACTGGACTCTGAACCACAGGGTCGGCAGTTCAAACCCACCAGCTGCTCCTTGGAAACAGTATACAGGGTCGCTATGAGTTGGAACCGACTCAACAGCACTCAACAACAAACCATAAAAGGTCAATTCAAGTTTACATGACTAAAAAAATGTCTCTCTCATTAACTACTAACAGTCCTCAAGTCTACCCTGTTTGTTTCAAAGTTAATCACATACTTCCTTATAATTTACCTTTTTATAAGTAAAGACCTGAATATTTATCCCTTTAATGATACATTCTTTAAGAAGAAGCTTTAAAATCTAACATAAATAACAAATAAGGTAAGCACTCACTAAGTATTGAATGAATATAAGTGTCTCAGTAATCTGTCTAAATGTCATTAGCCATTAACTCTAAAGAGAAAGTCATTAACACTGAAGGGCATTTCTGCTAAATCTTGTGGCAGTGTATTTTGAGCCCTAGAGTTTGTGAAGGTGCCTCAATAAGAGGGGGTAGAAAGCAGGTTAAAGAAGAAGGCTTCAGCTTTAATGAGAAGACTTCAATTCTTATCATTTTATATTGGAGTTCTTTTTTTTTTTAGCTGATTCTGCTACTAAAAGGAGTACTGGTGTGGTGCTGCAGGATAATGCACTAGATCAAAAGGTCAGTTTGAACCACAAGGCTGGTGGTTCAAACTCCACCAGCTGCTCCTCGGAAACCCTATACAGGTATGCTATGAGTCAGAACCAACTCAGTGGCACACAACCACCACCACCACCATGATTAAAAAGGAATGCAGTGGCTCTAGAGGATAAGGCACCGGACTGTGAATCATCAGGTCAATGGTTCAACCTCATCAACCACTCTGCAGGAGAAAGATGAGGCTTTCTGCTCCCTCAAAGATTTACAGCCTTGGAAACTTTATACAAGGTTCTTATTACAAAAGAAGACTCAAAAACTAACCTTTGTAGATGTATAAGGTGAACTAAGTATTATACATTCATAGTATAACTCATTTATATGCTTAACATTTATTTATTAATACACAGCTGAAAACATTCCATACACAAGGCAAAACTTACATTCCCACTAATGGTAAGGAGTAAACCTTAGGATCAGATTCCAGCAAAAGGAGTAATTTGCGTGTTTCATCCATGGTAAGATATCTAAACAGAAGACACTGATGTAAAAATATTATATTATGTACTTTTACCTAAAAGAGATTAGCTAAGTGTTGAAGAAGCAACTTTTAGATAAGGAAGAGGATTCAAGTGCACACTGTCTTACTCAGGCACACATGTTTATGCAAGTACATGTACATATAAAACACTGCCAAATCTAGAAAGACTCTGGTGAGTAGAAGAAATTAAAGCTATTTAATAAGTTAAAACTTCTACCTATACATTAAAATGGTCATTAAGAAACATCTATTTATGAACCATTTTTCTTTAGCAGTATTAACATAACTTACTTCAATAAAAAATGTTAAAATTCAAGCAGACATTTTCTTAACCAAATAGGATTCTCTGGGAGACATAAAATGCTCCTTACTGGAAGCGTGACTTGACAAGGTGCAATAAATGTGACTTCTCATTAAAGGAAGCTGACTTAGGTAAATATATTCAACTTTCCAAATACTCTACCTTTCCAAGCACTAACAAAGGACAAAACCTGGAGTCATCATGAGGTTTGTAGAGTCCAAAGCTGACTTTTCCCTAATACTTTACAACATCAAAGTATAAATAAAAAATATTTTAAAAATTAAAAAATTACAGAAGAATTGTTAAGTCAATTTTACTCTTATGGTTTAAAACAAAAACTTTTTAAATAATGTATTCATAATGTTTTGACAGTATCACTGAGAATATGTTCTATTGCTATAATAATCCTAACACAAAAAGATAATGACTTCATTAGGCCAGGCAAAAGATTAAGCCTCAGTTTACAAACTATTTATCAAAATGACACTCCTGCTTTTGAAAGCTCTCCCCGTGCCATCCGCACATGATAAAAATACCAACTTTTTAAGGAGTCAACTCAGGCTTTCCCCAATTTTCCCAAGCAGCTTAGATATATTTTCATGCTATTCCTGTACTGTAGCTACACTCAATAACAGAAGGTCATGTCTACATGTCAATACATGAGTAAAAAGTACATAGTTTCACAAAATTTTTGAAGCCCCCTCATACTTAGCAAACAGTAAATACGTTTTCTTATTTTTACCTTTTTATTGTGAATGAGTGAAGGTTTACAGAGCAGATCATCAGTTTTACATTCATTCAACAATTCATACAAATTTTACAGCATCTCAGTGATTACAATCCCCTTTATATAACATCATTTATCTTACTTCCTCCCATCTTCCTGATTCCATTCCTTCTTTCCTACACTAGAACTGTGCTTGTATAAATGCTGCCCTTTTGATCTCAAATGGTTAACTATTCTAAGGAGTGTGTACTTTACTAGTGCATTGTTCCCTTTATAGACCTGTGCAGGGTCACTATGAGTCCACGGTACTTAACAACTGTTAGACTAAAACTTGAGCTATGGGGTTGAGCTCATTCCCAGAACTGACGGTGACTGAGAGCCATAGTCTCAGCAGTTTTACCAGTCTCTATCTGAACAGTAAGTCTAGTCTTTTTTATGATTTTGAGTTTTGCACCACATTATCTCCAACTCTATTCAGGACCTTCTAATGCAAGGTTGGGGAAATTCTGGTCTACAGGTCGTGTAAGGCCCGCGAAATCATTTGGTCTGGCCCTGCCAAGGCAACTGCAGTTCTAGCCATTACACACTGTTGTTTTGAATAATTTCATGTATACAGATAGGTGTCTTAGCCATGTAAGGTGGTTGTTGTAGTTAAGTGCTGTCAAGTCAGTTCTGACTGATAGTGACCCTGTGTATAGGGTTTCCAAGGAGCAGCTCATGGGTTTGAACAGACAACCTTTTGATTCGAAGTCCAGTGATGATTCTATAGTGCCACACCAGGGGTCCAGCCATCACATTGGTGGTAGTTATGTGCCGTGGAGTTGGTTCTGACTCATAGCAACCCTGCACAGCATTTCCAAGGCTGCAAACTTTAAGGGAGCAGAAAGCCTCATCTTTCTCCCAAGAAACAGCTGGTAGTTTCAAACTGCTGACCCTGAGGGTAGCATCCTGATTCATAACCACTATGCTACCAGTGCTCTTAAAAGTGAGTTAGTTAAATGTTTGACCAAACACAGCACACTAATTTTTTTTTTTTTTTAATGTTTTATTGTAAATTATGTGATAGTTTACATGAGAGAACATTAGCTTTACATTCATCCTATTATACATCGTTTCATTGCCAGGGTTATAATCCCCTCCATGCATCATCAACCAACTAAAGGGTATACACTACAAGCCTGCCCCCTGGTCGTCAGCACACAGCCCCTCTCTCCCTCTCTGGGTCTAGAGTCCCCAGCTGCTCCATCTCTCCATGTGATCGTCTCTGCCTCCATCTCTGACATCACTATTTCTCTGGGTAGGGTCCCACACTCCGTTTTCTCCCTTGATGATCCCAGTGACCTCTGTTTCTGGACTGCAAAGTCAATCACTCCCTTCCTTTTGCTACAAAACGTCTACCTTTACATTTCCAACCCTCACAGTCAGTACTGATGACAATTATTCACTATTGTATCACAAGAGACCTATCCCCATCTCCTTTCATCAGCCGTGCTCAGACAGATTGGATACTACTCAGTGGAGATTCTACCTTCCTCTGTGCCCTGAACTAGGCTCCCTCTTGAAAGCTTGTAAGCCAGTCACTTCTTGCCTTTGTAGTAACCACCACCCCCAACCCCACTCCATTTTTGGGTAGCCTATGTCCAAGCTGCCCATCCTTGTCTAGCCTGTGCAGGCGCACAGATCGTCTCAGCATTTAGAGGCACTTGCCATTCTTGCTAGTTGAATGCCTGAGAGTTGGTTCTGGCTCATAGTGGCCCTGAACGGGTTTTCCGTGGATGTGAATCTTTGTGGGAGCAGGGAGCCTAGTCTTTCTCCTGCAGAACTGCAGATGGTTTGGAGCTGCTGGCCTGGGTTTGGCAGCCTGATTTGTAACCACTACACTACAAACAGGCAGCTTAAAACGACCACAGCCAACTCTGAACTGTTTATTAATAAGGAAAAGATCAGGACGGGAGAGGAGAAGGAGAGAGTTTAAAAACAAAACAGGTTGACAATTAAATCCTGAGTTACAGCTTAACAATGAACAGTGGCATCTTGAAATTTATCAGACAGCCTTGAAGGTGAAAAGCTGAAAGAGGACATTAAAGTCATACTCATATTAGGCTACATATTTTTTTTCTTCTTCTTTTTTTTTTTTTTTCCTTTCTTTTCTCTCTCCTCTCATTTTCCCACAATTACAGACTACAGTATCCAATCTAGTTTTTGGGGGGATTTTTTGTTGCTTGTTTTTTCCCTTTAGTTCTGTTGTGTTTTGGTTTTGTTCCCCCTTTTACCTTTAGGTGGCTCTTTCTCTCCCTATACTACCCACGAAGAGACAGCAATTGCTGCCATATAGTTAAAATACAATCACACCCTATAAAGCCCCACAATCCAGGCAAAAACCAATACCAATGGCCATATACCAGGGAGACAGGCAACAACTACTAAAACACTAAGATAAGCAATAAGTAGAGTGAAAAGGGAAGCCCACCTCCTGATCACATCTACCTGGAGGCAATCAGAAAGCATGAAAAATACCAAAACACACACTTAATTAAGTATTAAGGCCACAGCTAAAAACTAACCATGTCCAAAAAGCAAAAACAGATGACCATATCAACATAAGTCCAGAAACAAGATAAAATGTCTGAGACAAATGACCTAGAGGTAGACCTGGACTCCATTCTGGAAGGAAGGCAGGCCTTGGAAATGCCTGAGAAGGAATTCAGAAAAATGATTGTAAAATGTTTCAAAACACTTTAGAATGGAGTTGAAAAAATAAGGAAGAAGTCAGGAAAATGCTATAGGAACAATCATAAGATAGATACAGCATTGGAAACAATTTAAAACCTACAAGAGAGTGGTTCAAATGATTAATAATAGAATATCAGAAATAGATAATACACTGAAAGGGCAAAAGAGTAGAATACAAGAGATGGAAGGCAGAACTATTGAACTGGAGTACAAATCTCTCAATCCAGAAAGAAGAGCAGCAGAAAAGAGGATTAAAAAAAGAACAAAGAAGCTCTAAGATACATGGTGGACAACATGAAGAGGACTAAGTTAAGAATTATCGGCATTCCGGAACAGGAAGAATCACACAAGTCCACAGAAGACATAGTTGAGAAGCTTCTGAAGAAAAGTTTTCTAACAACCTAAAAAGTGAAAAGATAAACATTCAAGAAGCTCAGCAAACCCCAGGACGGACAGACCCCTAAAGAAAATCACCGAGACATATCATAATCATGCTCTCCAAAATCAAAGCTAAGGAGACAATCCTGAAAGCACCTAGGGAAAAGAGAAGCATTACATACAAAAGTAAGCAAGTCAGATTAAGCTTGGATCTCTCAGCAAAAATCTGGCAGGAAAGAAGGCAATGTTGTTGTTGTTGTTGTTGTTGTTAGGTGCCATCAAGTCAGTACCAATCCATAGCAACATTATGTGCAATAGAATGAAACACTGCCGATCCTGGGCCAACCTCACTACTGTTGCCATGCTTGAGTCCATTGATGCTGTCATTTGGCCAATCCATCTCACTGGGGTCTTCCTCTTTTTCTCTGACCCTCCACCTTATCAAATATGATATTCTTCTCCAGTGACTGGTCCCTCCTGACAGTATGTCTGAAGTATGAGAGACAAAGTTTGGCCACCTTGGCCTCCAGGGAGCACTCTGGCTGCACTGCTTCCAAACAGATTTATTGGTTCTTTTGGCAGCCCATGGCACTTTCAATATTCTCCTCCAACACCATAACTCAAAAGCATCAATTCTTCTAGATATATATAAAACCCTGAAAGGAAAAAAAACTGCCAACCAAGAATCCTTTATCCAGCAAAGCTATTAACCAAATACAATGGTGTAATCAAAACATTCCAGGATAAACAGAAGCTAAGGGATTTTGCCAAGGCCAACCCTGCACAACAAAACATACTAAAAGAGAGTTTTGTGGGCCGATAATCAACAAGAACAGACAACAACCAG